TAGAAATAAAGCAAGCAGGGAGGTGAAGTGGCTTATCTTAAAGCTTAAGGAAAAAGAAGGTACTTTCACACAGATCATCTCATTGAACTCTTCTAGTATTTCTGTGAATTAAGTATTATTATTCCCCTTTTGTTCCCCCAGAACATTAAAGGTTATAGAAACTTACACAAGGTTGCACATCTAGTTATTGGTGAGAGTATGGTTCAAAACCGAGAGCTGTGTAATTCAGGAGCATACGTCTTCCCCCTCGATATAACCAGCTGTACCATAAAACTGAAATGTGCTGTTACAAAAATATGTTCTGCTAACTGCATATGTGTTCAGTTTTAAGAACAAAGAAAAAAATGCAAATAAGTTGAATGCTTCAAATAAAAGCTCAAGTGCTCTATAAAAAACAAAGATTGAGTTGAATTTCTTTTGTATTTGTGGCCTTTGGTTTTATTTTTCTTTCTGCCCTATGTATCAGTACCTCTCCATGAAAAAAAGCCTGAGGCTATTTTGTTTTCAAATCGTTCCGTATAGTTTTTAAGTACTGATTTCACTTTTAACTTGAGACTAATTTTAAGATACATAGAGATATACTCTGTAGTGTTACAGAGTATATATATTTATCACTTAAACTTATGAAAACAGCTACTGCCATTCATTTGGCAGGTTACCTTGGTACCAAGTTCTAATGTCTCATTTTTTTCCATATGTCAAGATGCCAGCCATTGTTTTTCTCGATAATTTTTGAGGTTGTCTATTGAGGTGTTGCTCAGAATGTTAAAAGTTCAGAGGTTGGTTAATTTATTTGTGTATGTTGTGTATCTTTCATGCAGAAATTAAAAATTGGGCCATGATAATAAATTAGTCAATAAAAGTAGGCATGTGCTATACCAGTTCAGTGCCGTGCATATATTATTTCTTATAAAACTATGCACGAATCTGAGATTGCCTTAGTTTAGTATTATTGTTTACTATCAGCATTTACCTTTAGAACCACAGTGATATAAATGAAACAAATATTTACAAGAATAAAATTACAACACATATTAAAGAAGCTAGTGTCAAATGATTCACAGAGGAATATATTTACATTGAGACTGTTTAAAGATTAATGTTCTTAAAAGTCTTCTCTCAGTTTGGGATGCCCTTCGCCTTTAACCCCTCAGGCAGATAGATCTTTATCCCTCAGCTTTACTCCTCAGTAGAGCTTCCTCTACCAGACCCTTTTTTAGGCTGAACTGGTATTTGTTCCTCTAAAAGCTCCCTGTAATGATTTATTTAAGTGTGTGTCTTTTCAACTGCATGTGAGTATGTAACGTCCATCTCTGGGAGCTCCTGCAGAATCTGAAACATTGAACATTCACTAAATGTTTCATTTTGGTTTAATGAGTAAAGTTTATCATTTGCCGTTGCAATGGAAAATGTATTAGAGCAATTAATTTTGCATTCTCTAGTTGTGAGATATAATATGACTCTCATTTTTAGGAAAACTGAGGTCCAGGGTAGCTAAATAACTTGCTAAAGTCATGCTAAATGTTCCTTAAGTTTAGTTGACACTATGTTCATTTGTCTTTCAATTCTGTGTACTTTTGAATAAATCAGCATTTGCCGAACTATGTTCCACAAGACATTAGTGTGCCAAAAAATGTAAATGGGACTCAAGGCCAGTAAGGGAAAAGATGGAACTGGGATGGGGCTAAGGTGGATAACCTTGGTTGAATGAAATGTAGTGGGTTTTCTCACTCCAGGACTTATTGAACTCTAACGTGCTAAGTACATAGTGCCAAAGAGATGGATAGAGCAGGCGGTTTATTCCAAAGTTACATGTTAATAGAACCCCCTCTTTAAAATTACTCTTGTCTTCTCTTGAAAGACTATTTTTTCAAAAGATACAATGTAGAGAAGCTACACTAAATGAATTCTGTATAATGTTGATTCGAGTTCTTTTCGTCAAAGTCCTCTTGACTTTGTATGTGCTCAAGAGAAATTGAATGATCCTGGTTGTGGACTCTTTTCCTGGATTTGTTTCTATGAGTTTTGACAGATTCCAAAATTGCAGGAAATTGTTTCCATTTATTCATTAGTAAAGGGACTATCAGGGGAGACATACAGTCAAATACTCAATCCTTGGATTTGTGATTTTGAGCCCATGGTTATTGTTTTACTAATAGGTCCTGGTCAAGATATATATGTCAGATCATATTGTTACAAATAACAATAGATGATCCAATTTCATTTATTTCACTGAATTTGTTTTATTGCCTGAAGGAAGTTGGTTTGGTGATCGTTTTTTATATGGAGACTTTGGTATCCAATGTGGTCCAAAAAACACACCAAATCCACTCTCTGTTATTAGTTAAAATGGAAAAAAAGAGCCTTTCTCTGATATTAAATAATAAGCTAATAATACCTGCTGTAAGAAAGTTTAACTTGGCCAAATTTAAATCCTAAGCTTAATACGAATTAAAATTTAATTACAAGAGGGCAGTTAGAGGTAGTTATATTGTAATTTGAGAAGGAAACCTGAGAAAGCTAATAGAGATTGTGAAACTAGGGAGAGAATCCGCAGCACTGGGTGTAAAGAGAAAGAACTCAGTAGTGTCCAGGGTAATCAGTGCAAGGAGGTGTTAATGCTGTCACCACGTGGAACTCGTAATGATAGGAGGGACGACTGGGTTTTTATAGTTTCCCCAAGGGATGAAGTAGCTTAATTAGGTTAAATGTAGTCTGGAAAAAAAATTCACATGAAATAAATAATCTGACTTTGAGAATGAGAATCCCCGGCTCATCTGAACTTGGAAGGAAAATGGGAGCTCTAGATACGAATGTCAGTGTGGAAGGGGGATGACTTTGGACACCAGACTCTTCTGTTTTTGAGCTTTGTGACCTTGGACAACCCTCTCTTCTGCATTTACTTAACAGGGTATGGAAGGTCATACCTAATACGAATGACTGTAACTCTATGATTTTAAGCTAAGAATATAAAAGGAAATAGAGCAAACATGTCTTTACAATGGAATTTTGAGATGATATGTTAGGACCATGATTATAGATGGACTGATATTTTTTTTAGTAAATAATGTAGATTTGATCATCTAATTGAATTTTATCCATAAAAATATTCATGTCATGAGAATTTTTTAATATATAAAAATGCTATTGTTCCGAACATTTTTTTTTTTTTTACTTTTACTTTGGAATTACCTTAGAGCAAATTTAAGGACACAAAAGTTAAGTGCAATTGCTTTATATATTTTGTATATGTATAAAAACCATATATATATATATATATACATGTACTACACATATATAATATATTTTTACATCAAATGATAGTATCTAATTTGTTTACTGCTTCATTCATTGTAGTTGGGTTTGAATGATTTGAAATGGTGAAAAAAATTCCTTAGTGGACAAAGATGTCATCATCTAATTTTTTTAAAGGCAATGCCTGATGTAGAATTCTAGAATCATTTTAATAGTGGCAGTAGCTCTGAGGTTAATCTCTAACATCCATAGGCAAGTTTTTTGGAAAGACTGTTACTTGGCTATTTATCTTCTTATATACTTATTAAAACCAGCAGTCAGTTGATAGCATATTCTTACCTGGTGAAATAAATAGAAAGGAACATTAGCTGAAGATGTGAGAGTCAAAATGCAGAGATGTATGCCAGGGAAAATAAACAGTATCTTGAATTTGCAAGTGTTATTCCATCAAAGGGTTATAAAAACTCCTAGACAGTCTTATTTTTCCCAGTTGAATTATAAAAAAATGTAGTCCTAGATTTTAGAAATTCTCCATTATTCTAATAGCTGTGACACACCTTCAAAAAGATCTGTGCAGAGTATAATAGAACAGCATAATGTACGATCTGTGATATGAAAATTCAAATTGGAGCTGAGTGAAAGCATAATATTACCTTGAAGATTTTAATGAAGGAAGATATTAACACGATTAAACAAGATCAACAAGCTTAAAAGCTAATAATCAGATCATTTTTAGGCACTGTTAGCTTGCTTCCACTGGGGCTTTGCTTGCCAGTTTGTGTGATTATGATTTGTGTATCAAATTATACTTTCTACTAGGCAGCATTCAGCTAGAAATTGCAGTGCCTTTATAACTTTAGAAATGATCAAACTTAATTTTAAATAAAAATGTAGTATTCACCTGGCTATTCTGCTAGTGTGTGAATGGACTTCCCTCCCAACTAGTTTGAATTAATGTCACTTTTATGGCCCATGATATGTATGTTTGTATGCAGATCTGTGTGTATGAAAAATTTGATATATGGGTATACCTTTTACTTTATTCCATTAGCCTCAATATACTCATCATGAAAACAGCTAGTTAAACAGTTTCCAGCATGTATAGGAATGTACAGTTTATGAATTATCAAAGTGCACTGCAAAGATGATAGACATGCATGTACATTTGTATTTGTTATTTATATATACACTTAGATGCATACACTCACTCCTATGTCAATATTAGACATGGATTTTGGATGACCAATAAATGTACAGATCAGAATTAATATAATATGTGCCACATTAGAAATATAAACTGATGAAATAAATTTTAATAATGTATTTCACCCAGTACATCCAAATATTTCAACCTGTAATCAGTATAAAAATTGAGGTATTTTGCATTCTTCTTTTCATACTAAATCTTAGATTGGTTGGGGAAGGAAAGCCTGCCTGTCTCCTAGAGCCGGAAGCCTGCACAGATGCACAGACAGGCACATTCCTGTGGGGACACAATGTGCCAGCAAGCTTTCAGGCACATTCCTGTGGGGACAGCACTGGGACCAAAGCCCCTCTGAGGGGAGGTGTGGAGATGTTGGAGTGTTTGCTTCTCAGACGAGATTGTAAATGGAAAGTTTCTGCAACTGTGGACTCTCAGGCCCAATTAATATGGTGATGGAGATAGTATCTTAGGCAGGTCAGGCCTCCATACTGAACTACTACAGACTAGGTGGCTTAACAACACAACTTTATTTCTTACAGCTCCGGAGGCTGGAAATCCATGGTCTCGATGCCAGTGTAGTCATGCTCTGTTCTCTCTTCCTGGATTACAGATGGCCATTTTCTTGCTGTGCCCTCAAGTAGTAAAGAGAGGACACTCTGATGGCTCAGTCTGTTTTCAGGGAGCTCTGGTGCCATCATGAGGGCCCAACCTTCATGCCTTCCTCTAAACCTCATCACCTCCCAAAGCTGCCACCTCCTAATACCATCACATTAGAGGTTAGAGCTTTAACATACCAGTTTAGGGGGACACAGACTTTCAGTCCATCACAGGGCACTGCTTTCATAACTCAGGCTTTCACTGTCTCCATTCCCGGTAAGCCAGAGTTCTTATAAATTTCTTGTGTGTACACATCCGGTGCCTTTTTCCTGCTGATGCCTTTTTTTTTTTTTTCTTCTTTTTTCAAACCATTACCAAATTGAGGCCAAGTGACTCATTTTGTACGTAATTAACTGTCAGGTGTTTTGAAGGATTTCCATTGAAGCTTTTATTGGTAAAATTTTAGGATTCACCTTATAACAGTGATTAGTTAAGAAAATGACCCCAATAAAAACTGTCATTAAATAGAAATAAAGAAAAATAGAGTTGATAATGAAATGCCAGTTAATTAGTTTTAACTGTTTCCTATTTTAAAGTAGATTAGAGAAATCTGCCTAATTTTTTTTTCTCAACTCCCAATATGCTTATTTGTAAGATATATTTGCTATCATTTTTGTTTCTGACAGATTTGAGGACCTGAAATTCTGAAATTCTGGCTCTCTTAGGTACCAATGGGGAATAGATGATGGACTAGTAAAAATAATAGCTGAAATTTGTATGGTACTTTACAGTTCATATTTATGAAGTGCTTTTTTGAAATCCTCAAGATAGAACCTAATGAAAACTCTCAGACTTAGAGAAGTTTTGGGGACAGGGCTGTCAATCAAAGCAAAGTCCCTCCTTCTGGCTTGAGACCCATTAGTCCTTCTGTTAGAATACAGCTGAATCTCTTGATTTACAAGAAATATTTTAAGAAGATGATAAAAAAGTAGGATACGTGGTCAGTACAGGAAAAAGGAATTCTTCACAAGTGATCTAGTAAACTAAAATGAATTCAGAGTTTGAGGCATTTATTACCGAAGCTCTTCTTGAGTTTTTGATAATGAGTTTGGGAAAGAACAAACATTTTGGTTGTCTAGGTGGGGACCTAATAATTGGAAGCATTCAATAACTTACCTATTGATAATAAAATAATTTCTTTTGATATCACTGAAAAAAAAGAATTGATATTAATCAAACTTGTTAAAAGGGAAAAGGCAAATAGTGTACGTATTCATTTATTCATTAAAATGTTATTGAGCATTCCTTAAGTTCTGGAGGACAGACAGACAAGACTGTCAGCCATCATGGAACTTAAGTTCTTGTGGGGAAGAAGTTTCAATTCCACTGCAGACACTGAGTTGAGTACTTTACATATACTCTCCCCAGAGTCCCATGGCGACCTATTGTATTATCGTTATTTCCAACTGAAAGATGAAAAAACTGAGTCTCAGTAAGTTGCTCAGGATTATGCAACCAGTAAGGATCAGGAACGGAAACTAAGCCTTGTTCTGTCTGACCCCTTCACCCTGTGGCTCCATGACTATTCTGTCCCATGGTCGCACTGTAAGAATACCATAACAAAAGTCCACAGCTAATAATGTTAGAGCCTGTAGGTTAGCTCATCATTCAGTTGCTTTTTACCAGAGCAGCCATTTTCTAGTACTGGGCTTCATTATGCCTTCCAAAGAAATTGCATCTGATATGTTTAGTCTGATTTGTTAGCGCAAATGACTGCTTCCCCTCCATAACAACAGGAAGATTCTTAATGGTCGCTATCTTTGGAACAGTGATTCTGATACGGAGTTGCCTTTCTAATAGTGTAGTCTGTGTAATAGCAAAGGACAGCCAATTATAATCAGGCAGGGTCTGCCAAGAGTGACATTGGTGGGGGGGTGCTATACAGACTTTGTGAAGGAATAGACAGGAGATGACATCAGGGGGAAAAAAAAGAATAAAAGGGAGGCAAGACAGTTCCATACATTACTAATCAGCTACAGGGAATGTTCTACAAACTGATTATCAGCAGCAGCCTGTCACCAGGCGCTGCCCTAGCAGATTAGAATTGTCATCCTCTAGGTTGTATAGACACTTCATTTCTCATCAGATTAAGGTTTTGATTACATTCAGCCTAACGGAAGGAGGCATAATCATATTTAGTATGTGTTTGGCCAAACGTCAGACAACTATCTGGGGGATTATATCTATTCATTGCCCCGATGAGTTTAGCATTGTTTTTAAAATTTCCTGCGACAAAAATCATCTCTATGGTAATTATTTTCTATTTCCTTCTTAGGGAGACTGAGATTTTAGTGTAGTGGTGAAAAACTTGCGGCTCTGTAGCCTCGGTGCCATCCCTGCCTGGCTGTAAAACCTCAGACTGATGATGTGATCTCTCATCGTCTCAGTCTCCTCATCTCTGCAGTGGGGAGAGGAATGATTGAAGCACTCAGATGAGCTCCTGGCCCATGGCAAATGCAGTATGTGTTAGAGGGGCTGTTGTTTGATGATTATGGATGGGACTGCTGTTTTTACAGACGTATTATCATGCCAAACTTAAATTGGTCGTCATTAACCTCCTAGCCTAAGATGTCAGATGAACAAGAACACTGGTTTTAGATTTGTAGTACTTTGCCTATGAATATTGATAAATTTGTATCAGCCCTTTGTGAATGTTATAAAACACTCCATGCAGTAGCCCTCAGGCATTTAGGGCACAATGTTTGGTATCTGAGTTCAGGCTGCTGTGACAAAAATACCATAGACAAGGTGGCTTAAACCACAGGAAGTTATTTCTCACACTTCTTGGAGGCTGGAAGTCCGAGATCAAGGTGGCAGCAGATAAGCATCTGATGAGCACCTGTTTTTGTGATTTCCAGGTGCCCATCTTCTTGCTGTATCTTCACATGGCTGAGAGAGGTCACCTCTCTTGTGACTCTTCTTATAAGAGGGCTCCACCTTTGTGACCTAATTACCTCCTAAAGTCCCTACTTCCAATTACCATATCACACTGGAGGTTATCAAGACTTGGTGTGAACTTTGGGGGGTCACAAACCTTCAGTCCATGAGCACTGGGAAGCAGCACAGCACGAACAGCTCAGTCATGGCAGGACTCCCACGTGGCAGGGGGAGACCTGGGGGATATGCTCTCCTGCCGGGACTTCCCTCTGGCTCACCGCCCTGGGCAGGTGTGGCTGCCGGAGCTCCCGTTGTGTGTGGGGATTGCACTCAGTGGAGAGATGATTTGGACGTGGAAACTAGTTGGGATATAAATTGTCAGCTGCAGATACAAAATGCTACTATGTGAGAACCGTCCTATAACCTCAGCTGTTTTCATTGTGCAGGTAGAGACAAAGAAGTGTATTCCGGGGCAGCTGCTGCTAATTTATTTTTCCTTTGTTTTGCTGTGACCTGATTTCCATGTTCTTATTTTCTTTTTTGTAAGTAATCCTAAATCAGATGATCATGTCATGTTAGGCTTAAACTTGAACTATGTCAAGCTTAATTTTAACAACCCAAAAAAAAAAAGAAAAGCAAAAGTCATGGTGATATATACATCAACATTTTATAAAATGAATGAGGGGAGGGATAAATTAAGCACACTGTTGGCGAAGTGGGGCCACAGGAGTGGCAGGGTATAAATGCGCCACCCTGTCCCCCTAGAACAACAGCAGTGGAAAATAAACTATATCATTTTTTACTGACTTGTTCTGTTGGTGAGGTGACTGAGGCATTTGAGTGCACAACCAGGAAAATAATAGGTTACTTTCACAATGGTAGACGTTTAACAAATGCTCATTGACCTACATCATCACTGTCATTGGCGAGAGCTTTTATGTGTGATATTGATGCGTCACTTCTTTCTTATTGCCATATTCTTTTCAGATTCAATCTGTCTGCAGTGGGCCACTAAACATTTCAATTTGCTACCTGTAGAGCCAGGTTGCAATGTGCAGACTGAAATGAGAGAGAAATGGATTTAGTGAAACACAAAGTAGAGAGCTTCATGGATTTTTGTAGAGGGATGCACAAACTGAGACACACTGATAAGATATGCACCATCACTTTTGAGGGTCTCATGAAAGTACATGGTATACTGAGCAATTCATGGATGTTGATATGGAAAAGAGACTCATCTGGGTACTGATAAGACCCCCTTTATTTTGAGGAACTTAGACTGTCAGCCTGAGTTGTACTTGCCTATAGTCAGTGTGTTCTAATAGTTCTAGAGTACTTCTTTCTAAACAGTAGGCTTGTGTAGGTGCTCTTAAAGAGAACTCCACTAGTGAAGAAGAGGATAAACTCCAAATGATTTCCTGGCCCAATCAGATTGAAAAGGATTTTTATTCCACAGCTGGGAGAGATTTTTCTGTCCTTTGCAGTTTCAAGAGAAGATAACCTAAGGACAAGCTGACTAGGGGCACAAGGGGCCAAGAGAACCGCAGGCAGTTGGAGCCAGAGCCTTGACTTTACCGAACCTGGACACCTGCCCACCTCTGGACTGATTGTTATGTGAAAAGACAGATTGCCTGCCTGTCATGTTCCTTTGCTGCCGAAAGCATACTGCTGGCTAGATTGCCTTGGGCGTTTATACTCCCAGAGTCTATGTCGCACATTCAAATAGATGGTGTTACTTTAGAACACAATTCTGTAAATTAGTGAGTGTCACCCCCATTTTACCAGAGTGGAAATGAAAGAGATCTACTGGTGAAGTGACTTAGGTTCAGCCAGCATTAAAGGGCCCAACCTTGGAACTCACCTCCTTCCCATTCACATATGAATCTCTGGCATAATAAAATTAATACTAGACCAAAGGAATAAATAACTCGGAACTTCAGCCTCTGCTCAATCACTATGTGGTCTTGAGAAAGACATCTCATCTCTGGGCCTCATTTTTCTCCTCAGTATAATGGGGTAGGTTGTAATGGTTGATCTCCAAATTTTCTCATATAAACCTTATATTTCCATTTTCTCCATTTTTATCTTTTCTCTCTCTTTTTTCCCCCCCAAATCATTATCATCTTCACAAAAGAGCAATAGTTTCTTGCTGGGTTGT